GCCGAGTTGTCTATGAGCGAGTAGTCAACGAGGCGAAGCCGAGTTGACTATTTGCTCATAGACAACGAGGCCGAGTTGTCTAATTGTTTTAGTATAAACTTTAACATTAATTTACAACTAGGCTGCAAACACAATACAAAAATACACAAAAAAAAACACATTATAAAACCATTAAAGGTAAACAAATATTTTAGTTTTTGTTCGCGTAAAATGTTTTACAAAATTCAGTTTTAATTTTAAAATTTCATTGAGTGTATGTTATTATGTCTATTTTCTTACCCTTAAAAATTGCCATTCCATATTTTTGTTGTTTTTTTCCGGTTTTTTTTTAGTCAGAATTGTTCAACAAGTCGTCCAAAAAATCATCAGACACTTCGGCAAAAGTGCAAAACGCGAATTTTCCGCCATTTTGAATTTTCTATTAGTAGGCTATCACTAATAGCCTTCTAGTAGCGTAGCCAATCGGAAGGCACGAAATGTGATAGCCTATAGTAGGTTTATACTAATTACATTTAGACCAGAGAGAGGTGCATGTTTATTTATTGGAGTTCTACTGTATTAATATATCACCTGCTAAGCAGACACCTTCAAATTCTTTTTAAAAGCGGACACGTTCGTGAGGTCTCAAAAGTGTCCGATTAATAGGGGTTTAGCTGTATTTAGCTTTCACAGATCCGTTTGTGTTAGTGGTTCAGTTTTCATCCTCGACGTTGTCTCGATAAACTATGCTTCTGTCGAAAAAGTTATCTTAGTACCTTTTTTGTAAATTGTTTCTTTTATTTTTAAGGGTGTTCCACTGCAATGATAAAATCGCCAATCAGCCACTTTCAGTTCCAACAGTTCGATTTTTCCTCCTATCTTGCCTACAAGAGAGAAGGATTTGTTGGCCGGGAGTGGTTCTTCATGGAACTGGATAATATCTTCGAGACAGACCGAGAAACGGCTGGTGTTTTGATTACTGGCGAGCCAGGATCCGGAAAATCAGCATTAATGTCACAATTAATATGTTCACCGTATTCCAGCCTACCCATACATCAAAATATTATCGGGTATCATTTGTGTGAATATTCCGAGAAAGGGAAACGTGATGGTGCGAGATTTGTGCGAAATTTGGTTGATCAAATTGCAGCACGATTGTCTGGATATTCTGAACATGTTATCAAGAGTGAACAAATGAGAATGAAATTGCAGGATACACTCTGTCAACAAGATCCCACAGAATGTTTCTTTACATCGATATTGGGGCCTTTGAGAGAGTTAAAACCTCCACCAGATGGCCTCCGGTATATTGTAATAGATGTCTTGGATGAATGCTTTGAGAGTGACAAAACATCCGAAATTTTTCAGATATTGAGCAGTAAAATACTACATTTCCCAAAATGGTTAAAGGTCATACTAACTTCACGAAATCTGACGCTGGTTACGGAAGAATTACCTTACATTGTTAGAAGGAAGCCATTGTACGCCAATGATGATCGGAATGTAAAAGATATTAGTTTGTATGTATCGCGCTTTATATCTCAAAATTCGTTTTTCGTAGATCGTTTGAAAACAGCAATGAATTTCAAATCAAGAACGTATGATATGAAAATATTTTTGGACAAAGTCATTACACGAGCTGAGGGGAATTTCTTGTTTGTGAAGATGACACTGCAATATATGAACGATACAGATGGGGTGGTTGATACGAAGTCTTTACCAACAAGTCTGTTTGATTTGTATAGCATTTTCTTTAAAAGGCAGTTCGGAAAAGGCGGTTTCGGGCCATTGAGATCTCTTTTTGAGGTTTTGTTATCTGTTTGCTCACCTCTTCAATTGAACGATGTGGAAGAAATACTTAGGAGCGAGTATGAAGCAGAGGATGTCTCCCAACTTATAGACCAAGCGTCTTGTTTCCTGCGATTTGGTCGTGATGGAACAGTAAGGATATATCATCAATCCTTTGCTGAATGGTTGGTTAATCAGACTGGTCTCATCCACATTAATGAAACTAGAGCTCATCGAAGCATGGCAAATTTTTTACTGCATCGCATTCGTGAGAGAGATATGAATGTTACGTTTGGGGAAGTAATTGAACTTTTTATGCACATACTAGCAGGAAATACATTGGCAATACATGGAAACGCTATAGACCTTTTCAATATTAGCGAAATGCGCGAGAGTCGAACAAACCAATCCATTTTGCACCATCTTGCGATAAAACCAAAGCAGTTTCAACCTGTACTAGAGTTCTTCTTACAGAAGTTTAGAATCGTTGACATGCTAGATGCGAACAAGAAAACACCGGCGTTTTACGCAACATCTGAAGGCTTAGCTGAAATTTGCGAAGCTTCATTGACAGAGGAGCAGACATAAGTTCGTTTTTGGAAGGATTTGGGGAATTAGACCATTTTCTTATTAATGTTGTTTGCAATACCGGTATCGAAGAATTCAGCTTCATGCACGCTGCTGCTGCGAAAGGGCACAGAGATGTTGTTGAACTTCTGATAAAAAGTAATATCAGCTTTTACAAATCAAGCAAGAATTATCCAACTCCTCTTCACTTGGCTGCAGGAAATGGACATTTAGAAGTGCTTAGGTTGTTTTATGAATACGGCGCAAAGTTTGACGTGATTACACTGCATCACGCGGCAACAAGAAACCATCTGGATGTCGTGGAGTTTTTGTTAACAGCAGTAAAAGTTCGTGATAGTTGTTTACAATGTACATGTAAACCTGAACAGTTTTCAAAATTTAGTGTAGAAGGTGTGCACTTACATTTCTGTGAAACGGCACTTCATGCTGCTGTGTCAAGAGGATACATCGATATCGTAAAAAGTTTGTTGCCGTTTGAAAACGAATCGTTGGAATGCAAACATCATTCTGGAAAGACAGTGTTAATGGATGCTGTTGAGAGAAATGATATTGAAATGGTTGACTTACTATTGGAGAATGGTGCCAATGTCACCGCGCCGTGTGGTAGTAAAATATCGAAGAAGAGTAGAAATGAAATGTGTTCATTATCTTCTACGTATAAACAGGATTTCTTGTATATGGTATATTGTGCAGAAGATAGTTGTGAATGCGGTAACACCGCAATTCATGTGAGTGCTAAACATGGTTTCTGGAAAGTTGCAGAAAAACTTGTTAGCAAACAAGTTTTTGATTTAACAGATGTGAGAAACTGCGTCGATGAAAATGCATTGCTTGTTGCTATTTCGCATGGTCACACACATTTTTTATACCATACTAATGAAAGCTATAAAAGACATGGTCAACATTTACTTGATTCTGCAATTGTTAAAGGAGCCGTTAGACGATTTTCTGATAATGCAGTGAAACGTATTCTTGATTATCGGATTAATTATGTATACGAACATACATGGGAACTTTTATTGCTTAGCGTAACTCATTGGACACCATATGGCCAATGCAGGCTGTGTTTAGATTGGCCCTCCATTTGTCCAGAGGTTTACGAAGATGAAAATTTTTCTTTGGTAGAATGTATAGAAAGACTATCAAAAAAGAGCTTAGCTATCATTAGGTTACTAATTGAATCGAATAAGTCGTATAAAGAGAAATTACTTATTCTGAACAAAAAAGGTGATAAAGGAAGGACACTTTTGCACCATGCTGCTGAAAATGGTTTCGATGATGCTGTTAAATACCTAGGTCAAATCGGTGCCGATACACAAATCGAAGGTGAAGATGGCGAAAGCCCGTTGACTTTTGCGTTAACGAGGGTTTTTTTTGTATCTGCGAAGCAGATATATATGCTATCGCAAACGTGACCGTACTGTTACCGTACCGTATGTTAACACATAGCCATTCAGCGACGAGCTTATATATTTTAAACATTTTATGCCAATTTAAGCCAATCAGCGATTCGTTTACATCAATTGTTTACATCGTGCCCGCATCTAACCTGCGAACGGGCATACTTTAGCCTCGTCAGGCCTCGTGTACAGCCAATTGCAGTTGAGCTTGCAGCTTGCATTTTAAACGCGTTGTTGCATCGTTCAAAAGTATGCGTTCATTCCTTGGAAACGCGCCGTTGCTAGGGGCGTAACGTGAACTTTTGGCGGGCGTTGTTGAGCTTCTGAAGATTGAAGGGCGTAAACATGTTGTTTTTCTATTATTGGCGTTGACGAATTAAATTAGGTAATAGACACAGGTTTAGGGTTATAATTTGATTGCAGGCAAATGCAGGCACTCTTTTCTGTAACTGTAGTGTTTCGTAGCAGGCTGTGCTTTTGAAGACTTGAAGTCATGGGATCAAAATATCTTTTCAAGTTGGAATACAACGACGACAAATTTTCCACCTTTTTTGTGAACCTGTACGAGAAAAATGATTATAATTTTATGGATTTAACTAATGACATAAAAGCAAACGTTAGATCACTGCAGCACGTAACACCAACTACAATTAGAATCAGGTACAAAGATGATGATGGCGACTTTGTCAATTTATCATTTGGGGACATTGAAATGTTCAAAGAAATGTTCGAGTCCGCAAATCATGTCAAAGATCGGGACTATAAAAAGATATACCTGAAAGTTTCGCAGTTAGACTCTCCTGTTCTCGATCCCCTCCCAAAGTCTAAGCATGCTGCTGTCAAAATCAACAAAGACGACGTTGATAAAAATCCCAATACGGAACTTCCAGATCCAATTCTCAATGAATCCCAAAGGCGTCCTCCAATGCACACTGCTGCTAGAAGTAAACTGAGTTCCAAGTTTATTGGCGTCACCGAGGACCAGGACGAAGAGGCTGAAGAGCGCTATTACGACATGTATTACGATCCTGATTACGATAGATTAGAGCCGACTCAAACCGTACCAGCACAAGGTGTAACTGGTCTTTCTCCTCTAGAACGCTACATGAAAACACTAAACAATAACAAAAGAGAGCAGGAGCTCAAAGTAGCGAATCTAAGGGATGAATTAATGACTGTCGATAAAAATCTGCTGCAAGCGAAGTCGAACAATGAATATGTCCAGGGCAACGTATGTGGCAACTGTCATTTGAAACTTGGGCATACGGCCAAAAAGTGCGTGCTTGACAAATGTACGAATGTTTATAATTGTGGAATTGAAAAGTTCCACCCCCGTCAAACTAACAGAAGTAAGCTGCGACAGGAATTACAAAAGGAAGAAAGCAAACTACAAAAGTTAAAGCAGGAAATCCAAAATCGCGAGTCTTCGGTTGAAAGTTTAAAAAAGTCATTAGTTAATCAGGTTGAACAGAAACTTTTGGCTGAAAATGCATCAGACTATTATGTTGGAGGACTAAGAAATTGGTCTCTGTTGAGAGAGCATGTACATTTAATTGAAAGTTATTGCAAGAGATATTTTAATGGGAAAATTCCCCCAAAACAGAACCTTTCGCAAATTCTGAGAATGGCTATGGTCGATGTCGATGAACAACGCGAGAATTTCTCACAGTCAAAGCGCCGACGTGTTCACGAGAATCCCGCCAAGGACGTCCTTGAAAAATACGGAATTAAATTCCCTGTGGGTTCAACAATTTCGTCGCCTTCATGTGCATCAAGTTTTTCCAATCCTAGTTCTGATATTTGGTCTCGCTGCCAACCCAAGTCAAAGGCGGAAGAAGAAGCACAGTTGGAGTTAGTGTTGAAAGCAAGTACCTGCGATGTAAGGGTGAAAGAAGACCAGAGTAGTGATGTAAAAACTGAGCATGTCAGTTGCATAGATTTAACACATCACAATGCCAATGTACCAACAATTGCAACAGACGCTGCCGATGATGTAAGTGAAGTCGCTTCTTTGAATTCCACTTCAAGCGTGAGCAACGCAGCCATGGCGTTAATATCATTGTACAACACTACCAGTACCTCAAACGTCTCCCATGGCGATGAGATATAGCTAACAAGTGAATATTGATGTAAAATATTTTGAAACCATGCATAACCTCGTGCATAACGATAATGTTCTTGTGACGGTATGTTTACTTCAATAACATTTCTTGTATGTGTTCAAATACCATACGTTTGGTGACTTTATATTTCTCCATTTATATTACAGTATTGTAACTATTAATACACAAGTATTTGTTTGGCCACGGTTCATATTTGAATTGGATTTTTACTTAAAAATGGTAAAAATAGTAGACGTACGTAGTGCAAGTTTGATATTTTGTTTTAATAGATGAGAACGTTACATGTATCTGTTGATTATATCAGTTATATAAATAATTTTTTATACATGTCTATTTATGGTGTTGTCACATGCTGAGATGGCGGTTTTTCAAAAAATTATCGCGGTGACGGAAAATTTCGCGCTGGCCGAACCAAATGTAAACGATATACGCTGTAAACTCGTTGTTTGGGCTCATTTGAGTCATTTATAATATATCTGGTTTGGTGCATGAAATGTTCCACACTTGAATTAGATCAAGCCTCAAACATTGTTTTTGACTGAATCAGAAGTTATGTATTTTTGCATGCAATATTAATAAATGGAGTTTTGGATTTTATCAGTAAACATTTTGTTTGCCAAAAGGCTAAAAAAATTAACCACCGAGATTTTATTTCAAAATATAAACTACGAATTATATGACATTAATTAACAAAGGAACAAACACAACTTTTACAATGGACACATGCATATAGCCCATATAGACTACTTCTTAAAACATCAAATGGCTAAACAGTATACATATTTACATAAAGAAGTGGGCGTTAAATTGCTACCTGCAGCGTAATGTTATTGCAGTAATTACAGTAGTTTTTCAAACAAGTGCAGGCCAAGTTTATAAATATCACATGCATTATTAATAACACATTTTCGATTGGCAGCCATTTCAATTATATCTTAGATCATGTCTGACAGTACATTATAGTGAATATTTTTATAGATGTACGGTAACGTATTTGAAAGTTTCTATAGTCCTTCTGTGAGAAATACTTTTTGGGCATAGCCAAACATTTACGTACAATACTGTAATGCATATTTTATATATTAATTATTAAATGTCGGGTGACAACTGTCAACATTTAATACAAGCGGAAATAGCCTGTATGACGATAATATCCTAGCATGTCTTGTGGTGATATTTTTGTTACAGCATTCATTACAGATACTTTTAGATTGTGATGTTGAAATCGGCCTACTAAATCCTCAGTAACTAAATGCTTTATTTTGGAAAAGCATTCTTCGATGGGGTTTAGGTCAGGTGAATACGTTGGGGTGTACAGAAGTTCAACACCTATATGGGCCAACCACTCTTCCAGAATTTGGCCGCCGTCGTAATGATGACAGGACAGGTTATCCATGACTATAATATCACCAGTATATATGCTTGGCAGGTTGAAGGTTGCATTCAATGATTGCCCAGCTTCCGCGAAAAATTGCAAAAATTCTACCGTATTTGTAGCACCGTCAATAACTTTTGCATATTCAACACCGTTTAATGAAACTAGGGCACTTAACGAGAAATTGGGTGATTGTGACTTCTTCGTAATTTCTACGCATCTTTGTCCAACAGGCGAATGACCATACTTCCGCGTACACTGATCCGGTAATTTAATCCCTGCTTCATCAAAGAATTTTACACGATACGGGTCTTGGGCATTAAGATAATTCATAAAAATCTGTGTGTACAATATATTGTTGCCGGTTAGTCTTTCTGCTGCTATCTTAGTTATTTTTTTCCTTGTGTAGCGTCGACCTGATGGCATTCGGTTACGCACAGCTCGGCATATTGTAGATTGAGAAACACCACCAGGCTCAACATCCCCTAATTCGTCAACAATGTCCATAATCTCTCTCAGCGAAATTGATCCCTTGGCATTTTTTATCACTTCAATTAGCTCTAAGTCACCTTGAGATAGTTTTTGATTATTCCCGCCTGATACAGGTAATCTGGCTACGGTGTAGTCTTCACAAAACCGTTTCCAGATTGATTTCACGGTGTTTGGAACGACTTTAAAATGCTCAGCAATCTGAGCGTAAGGAACGGGGATAACTCCTGCTGCTCTGTCCCCACCTTTTTCAAGTATTTTGTCGATTATTGCTCTCCTGAAATCGTCTGACAACGCCTTCCCAACTTCGTACGTCCTACCCGCTTTGCTAAGTTTAAGCATCGTTTTACAGTAAGTATACGTTTGTGAAACGTTCCGTGGTTTGTTTTTTCGCCGTTCAGAAGTTCAACAACTCCCGCCAAAAGTTCACGTTACGCCCCTAGCAACGGCGTGTTTCCAAGGCATGAACGCATACTTTTGAACGATGCAACAACGCGTTTAAAATGCAAGCTGCAAGCTCAACTGCAATTGGCTGTAAGACGGCCAGGACCAATTTGATCAGTTAATGTGTTTTTTATGCATAATGCTTCAGCAGTTGACATATATAGAGCTCAGCGGAAACATATAAATTATAGCATCTGACCAATGAGAATTTCGCGTCGCGATTTGAGACGCAGATATTCAAATTTATTAGTCATCGATGCAGGCTCTCAATTCAGCTTGAGAGCCTGTTCGCAGGCTATGCCCAGTCATGCTAGATTTGCACATATTCCGACTAAGTTCTGGTCTTGAATAACTTGGACTTGGACAGATCAAACGGTACAAGCAAAAAGTTAAGTACGCAGATGAGAAGAATATCGCGTACGTACGTGGTACGTAGCTGACAAAACAGAAGTATAATATTGACCGTAATATTGGTTGGTCCTCCGTTACGTCAGTACGCGAATTATCGCACCCCGCTGAAAGTTTCTCGTAAAACAACACTTTCGTACTTACAAAAAACGAACGATCTGTACCAGTGTATAGATCTGTACCTTGAACGATCTTCGGATTGATAGTGATGAAACTACCTGAAAAATATAAGGAGAACTACTAACTTCGGAGTGTGGATACTAAATTCCAACGAAGGGTCTTCGCTCGAAACGTCGAAATTCTCCTTGTATTTTTCAGGTAGTTGCATTCCTGTCAATCCGAGGTTTTTCAGAAAATCTGCCTATGGTATAAAATAAATTGTTTTGTTATTCTATTTATTTAAATTGCATATTTTGTAGGGAAACACGTGAAAATCCATACAAATCACCTTTAAAGAGACCCATGACACCCTTGTAAGTGAACAATTGACCTATGGTTGGGCTAATAGCCTGTTATGTATAAGTGGTATAATCTTCAATGTACTGTATATATGACCCAGTCTGTACACTTGTGTAAATACAGGCCAAGGACGTCTAAACGGAGAGTTATTACAGAGAGAGTTATATCGGAGAGTTAAGATTTCGGACAGAGTTAAGTTTGAGAGTTAAGTTCCAAACCAGCACACCAAACTCTCCCAATGTTTTCTTTCAACTAACATAAGAGGGTTAACATTGACGCAACTCTCTTCCGTATAAATTTGTAACATATTACGTAACATTGTAACATATAACATATTTGTAACAACCTTAAACTTAATTAAGAAGTTTTCTACTTACGGTTCGGTTTTGGTCGAAGAAAGGTTATGTACGTATTGCTCAGGTAACGGGTAGATACGTCTCGTCATTTACAGTACTGTATATTGATGACGCTCGCCTTCTTCACAACCGTAACAACAGTTAGAAATTTGTTAACAGTTACTCTCTCATAATCAATTTATGTTTTGACGGAAGAGAGTTCCTTCAAATTTAAATCTCATGTTGATCTGAGATAAGAAATTGGGTGTGGTCGCTGGAGAAAGTGGACGGGGCTCGAACTCAACTCTCCGAAATCTCAACTCTCTGATATAATTTTCCTTATAGAATAACTCTCCTTTTAATAGTCATACCCATACACACCCTGGTAATGGTTTCTTATAGGGAACAAATGAAATTACGAAAGCAAGAACAAGCGGATGCACAAGCGGAAAGACTAAAGTTAGTGTTTGCCATATCACTCACATATTTCCTGATTAATATTGCACAGATGTTTTTACCTCACAAAATCTTCACTCAACCTCGTACCCAAGGCTCTTTCCGCTACGCTTCTCACTCTCGTCGGTTAAGCCTTAAGTGGTGTGTATCGTCAAGTGTCTCTAACGATCCCACTTAGGGCGAAACAGAGAGTGGAGATTATGGAAGTTTCCCGTTTCTGGTTGTTTTGTTCTCTTTGATACTTGGTATATAATAAAATACCTATTGACTGGGACTTTCGGGAAACACCATGTATTGTGAACATTGGCAGTCTCTGGTCCACAAAACATACTGTTTCCTTCGGTCCCAATTCGCTCAATCTTTATGTGAAGAATTCTGAATTGCACGACGTCATAAATTACATGTTTGTTTTCAGACAGTACACAGCGAAGCAATTTGCAGAAAGTCGACAGCAATATTCGGATGTGAAACGAAAACAGGTAAATTTCGTGTTGGGTCAAGCGCACCGAAATGTGGCATTTTGTTTGGATCTACCCCGGCGTTCTAGTTGGAGCGGACCACTGTAAAGGTCCAGTAACGCTGTGAGGAATTTTTGTAAGGGCCATCTCTTATTGGTCTACACCATTCCTCACAGCCTTACTGCATGGACCTTTACAGAGAATAGTTTATAACTGATAATCTAGTAGAGCTATACAGTACAAATAAAGTTAGTTAAGTTTAGGTTTCCTCCTGTATTGATAAGTATGGGTTCCTTTCTTTCCCAGCTTACTGACTTCTAGCGAGAACCGTTTATAAAAGTTATAGAGTTACGTTTGGTTCAAGTGTATTCCTGTATTGACACAGATCCAACGTGGAATGACCCATATATTGTACCTCTAGCGAAAACAACTATTCATTGTAAATGAAGTAAGTCGAGCTTAGTTTATTGTAGTTCTTGAATTCTACAATTTGTTTGTTTTCCAGTCTCGTATATCAGTGGGTTTACCTTGGGTCGATGAACATCCTGATGTATTTAGCGAGTTGCCAGAGGTCCGTGAAGACGACACTGAGAGCCCGAGACTGCCAGCAGCACATTACAGAGCACGTGAACAAAACGTGGTCACTAGCAGTGGGGACAGCGGGCATATTGCGAGTGATCAAGAGGAGGAAGCTGGTGACAAGTATGAAGATACTCTATCGACTGAAGGTATTATAATTTCCATTAGATTATTTTATTCTGATTGCAAACTGCTCTATACATAACCATCCACATAGCTAAAATACTGAAACTAAACATAAAAACTGGCTGAGCCGTGTCCCTTATGACATGGCCAACTGGGATATGATGATCTACAGTACACATAAAAACACACATTTTAACAAACCTGCAGCAGACTTGTAGCGATGCTGTTCCAACAACTTGTCAACAGGATGTGTTCGCACTGCTTGTACCCAGCTTGTTGACAAGTTGTCAGCGGCTTGTTGACAACTTGCAACAAGGTTATTGATTCAACAGACTTGTTACAAGTTGTTCCAACAACTTGTTATCTCCTGCAATTCAACAACTTGATAACAAGTTGTGAGTGACAACCTTGCAGCAACTTGATAAAATAACAACATTGTTACAACTTGTTGACAAGCTTGCTACAAGCCTGTTGCGAACACATCTTGTTGACAAGTTGTGAGATTTTTACATGTGTAGTACAGATATTATTAACGTCCAATACAAGCTAAAGAGGAAAGGTTAATTCGTTGGACATACAATTCTGAATCCTACAGATAAGCAACATGAAAATTGACCTGTTTTACTATCCGATGTTTACTAGAACTGAGCGACGACCTAACTTTGACGAACGTCTCCACGATTCCCGAAGACAGCCTAGAAGCGGAGACATACTACTCTCAGTTTGAGAATGAATTCGAGGATGACGATGACCTCGAGGACAGTGGTGGATCTGAGGGGTCAGATGAGGATAACGATGAACATAATGCATTAATAAATCAACTACAGGCAGCCCTAGAACTTGATACTCAGGAGACTATTCTTGAGGAGGAGACGATCGAAGAACGGTTTTCTCAAACTCTACGACAGCAAAGAATCATCGCTTTGAAACAGTATCCTTTCTGTAAATGAGATGGACATTGAGAAGGTCTATGCTAGAGACTCATCATCGGTCATACAGATCATCCGTCTCTAATATCAAGCCCCTACTATAGTATAAACCGTAGATGGAGATTATCGAGTGGAAATTTATCTACATTTATTAGACCTAACCATGAACAGAAGCGAAAAATGCAACTATAGGTCCCTTGCAGGAATCGAACCTTCGGCCCTGCGATTCCGGTGCAGCGCTCTAACCAACTGAGCTACAGAGGCCAGTTGTCGAGCTCTAACCACAAGTTCATGTACACAGATACTTCAATTAAGGTTGTCCCCGAGTAAAGCGGAAAAGTCGAATACAAGCGCGAAAGCTTGCTGGGAATCGCTAAAAAATTAATGAATTTTTTAGCGATTCTCAGCAAGTCTTTCGCGCTCGTATTCGACTTTTCCGCTATGTTCGGGGACAACCTTAATTGGAATAGCTGTATACTAGGATACTGCCAAGGCAAGGGCCGCGGGTTCGATCCTGCCAGGGACCTGGTTAGGTCTAATAAATGTATATAAATTTCCGCTCGATAATTTCCATCTACAATACCCTTCAACTATTATTCATTTGAGTGAGATGCCAACAAAATATTGATATTTACCTATATTACCTGCATTGTACTTAACTGGGAAAATGCAATATATAAAATTACACTCGATAATTTCCAAACACTCCAAAATTTACAAATTTTACCTGCATTGGTCCCCTACATTTGAGATATCTTTTTCAGGTATAGTTGAAACACAAACCATGGCAGTGTGTTATTATAAAATTACTTTATGGTTTCCGTGTTTGGATGGCCTGATCCAAACACGCGGGAATGTTGCGAGAGTTAAGAAAAGCGCGCGAAACACGAGCCGAAGGCGAGTGATTTTGCGCTCTTTTCTTAACTCGAGCAACATTCCCAAGAGTTTGGATCAGGCCATCCAAACACGGAAACCATAAAGTAATTGTTTTATAAAATAACAACTTTCCATGTTAAAATTTCACTTTAAAAAACTTTCACTTTAAATTTCCGTGTTTGGATGCCCTGATCCAAACACGGATTTTGACCAATCAGAGCACGCGTTATATACATGTTATTTTATAAAGAATATTATCTATGTGGAACCTCGTTCCTTGATTCGTTTATCAGAGAATGCATCAAAGTGTTTGGCGAGAAAACGTTCAAGAAGGTTTATCGATATTTGAGAGAAGTTCGTTTTGACCGCAAGGAAACAATGGACGAGCAATCGATCATTGAAGGATTGGGAAAGTTTGTAGCCCACCCTACAGACTGCTTTCTGGTCGATCAACTACTGTTCTTGGAAAAACAAATGGAGATCTCTGCGAGTGTTCGCTGAATATTTTTTAATACCCTAAATAGCCTTGCAGTGGGCAGAGTCGTAGAGAGTTTTTGAATGGACGAAGCAAAAATTGGCGTCTTTCAGGGGCTGCTTGTACGAAGGCTGGGCAGTACTACCCAAAAAATAAATTTTAATTTATAATTAAATTTAGGAAGCTTGAAAAAATTGCTTTGCTGTGGACAGTGCCGTACGGCCTTTGTACAACCGGCCACAAAATGTAATTCAGCCCAAGGGAAATTACACATTGTTTCACTAAGGTGGGAATCCAGGAAACACTGGTTCCTAGACTAACCGCTAGCCAAAGCCTGCGTACACGCGTAAAAATGGAGAAAATCAACTTGTTGCAAGTTGATATCGACAGGCGCGAACATGGAGAAACATGGCTAGCCTAACCTGCGTAGCTGGCGGTTTTAAGCAGGGCGCTTATATATATAAGCGCCCTGGTTTTAAGGGTTGGGGTTGAGTCGAGGCCAACGAAACTGATTAGGGAGGCGAGGAGCGGGAAACGGGGAAATGCTGGCGAGGCCGCGTCTCGCCTCCCTAATTTTCGTTGGCCTCGCCTCAACCCCAACCCGTAAAACCGCCAGCTACACGGCTAAAAACGCACAGGTTGTTGCAAGTTGATATCGACAGGCGTGAACAATGTTGTGCGGCCAACTATGAACTAGCCTGCGAACAGGCTCTCTCAATTCAGCTTGAGAGCCTGTTCGCGGGCTAACTATGAACAAGTTGTCAACCATGTTGTTCCAAGTTGTTACAGTTGAACAATGCTGTAACAACATGTTGACAATACTGTTCTTAGTGGGCCGCACAACCTCGGTGAGTGAACAAGGAAACACTTGTTATGTTTTATTGAAACACTGTTTCCTAGTTTGCCTTGAGCCTAGTTAATTAAGTCTCAAGCAGGTTTTGAGCCGAAATTGGTCCGCTTAGATCGATCGAGTACTTAGAGTACCGCTTAGAGTACTATGTACATCATTTTTTTATGTCCAATAAATTAGTGTTCCTATTGAAAAGGATAAACGTTTTAATCTGCTCATAGACGGACTGGGTTTTGAACTGGATGTCGTTGCTGCTAGAACGTCAAAAACGATGTCTCGCTAACCGGTATCCTAATTTTTAGCGAGATAAGGGAAAAACCAAGCCTGTCTCGGCAGAACCCTCGGTATTCGCCCTCGTTTTCAGTACGGCTATCTTTAAAATAGGGAACGGGAATGCGCGAATGGGGGAATGCGGGAATGGGAACGGGGAATGCGGGAATGGGGGAACGGGAGAACGGGGGAAACAGGGAATGCGGGAACGGGGGAATGGGGGAACAGGGAATGGGGGAACAGGGAATGGGGG